AGCCTTGATTTGGCAGACTAGTATTTATACTGAGTGATGATTGAAGGTAAAATGAAGATTTCGACCACAGCCAGGTTTGAGTCAGCGACCACATTCAATCACCACCCAATATAAATACTAGTTTACCAAACCACAGATATCTCAAAATGATAATCAATATGATGCTCCCCCTCTCCAATTCAGTTAGATTTGGATTTGGATGAGAAGTCCTGACTAGGCAGCCAGTGTGAATAGATCAAGTGATAGTAACGCTTCACGAATTCACATGGCAGTCGAGCAAAACGCATAGTGACTGAAGTGAAATAAAAATCTGGTTAGCAGTTGGACCTCGAAGCTCATATGGTACAGCATAAGGGCGGAAACCCGGTGGTCGCCGGTTCGAGTCTGGTCATCAACCAACATCCTGTACTTTTCTTATTTATCAGCATTTTTGATGAGCTGGATAACAGTAACTGACAAATGTACTTTGATGTGAGAAATGAATTTGATAATCGGTCATCCTTTGATATTTTAGTCATCACTGTTGGTAAAAGTGCTTCAACAGAGTGAAAAATATAAATTTCATTGGTGCAAAAAATTCTTCAGCATGAATTCTTTTCAGTTAACTCTTCATTAACAGCCCAAAAGTATTATATAACGTTATCTAACTAACATAAAATAAGATACTAGTTTAGAGGTGAAAAAGTTCGACAGTAGTATGCTATCGGTTTAAACATAACTAGCGGAGAAGTGGGTGGTGACCACTTTTCCTATTTATCTTAGAAACTATCATTGGCATTACAAAGACTATAGTCTTAACCTTTTTTAATTCTTTTCTTTGTCTCAGGTTTTTTATCTAATTACTGGTAGTGGTTAACCACGTAGTGATTGATCCCTTTTTCTGATTAACCACTATGAAAGAAAATATGAATTGGGCAACGGTGCATTACAACCTTACCAGTTATATTGTACATTTATCCCCTCCCAAGTAACTTCCACAACTATGCAGAAAATATAAAATTCATAAGCACAAAAGTTTCTATTTAAAGAATAGCAATTCTTAGGAAGAAATATTCTTCATTTTGATTAATCCTCTGGTATCAATATCTTTACAACAGTTTTTCTAACTATATAACATACAAGTCTGGTAGAAGAAAGGCTAGTTGATAAAAGAGAGTAAAAATTAACTGGGTTAAGGAATTTAATAAACTTCAGGATCAAAACTTGACCAAATAGTATCGACTAAGTTGAGCATTGGGCAGATGGATTATGGAGAAAATATATATCGAAACTCCCAATGATGTTTCTTAACCACATGGAAGCCGCGTTTTCAGAGAATAAACGCTCTACAAGTTGTCATATGACTATATCATTATGCGAACCACATAAAATGAAATGCCTAGCAGAATATGCTAGTGGTCTGTTTTGTTCTGGTGAAAATCATTGTCATCAGTTGAAGAAGAATGCTTTTATCATTATTATTATTATTACTATTATTACTTGTCCCTTGGGTTCCTAGTGGAACATACGGCTTCAGTAGCACATCACCATTCCACTCTGTTCCCGGCAGTCTTTTGAACCTGGCTTCACGACTGCCACAAGCTTCCATTTCTTCTTCACACGATCTCCTCCAGGTCACCCTCGGATGCCTAACTTGTCCTTTCGCATTCGGCTTCCACTCGACGGCCTGGCCTGACACGCATGATATCCCCGGATGGTCTCTTCCGTCTATCCTCAATCCAGTTCATCTCCACTTTCATCTCCTGCATATGTGTTGGGCGATAGGTTCTTGACTGGTTTGTTACTAGTAAAAGTGAGTTCCTTGTTGCTTATTCTTATTATTTCGGTCATCTGATATTCAGTGTCAGTATCGAGTTAGCGTATGCAGCAGCTGTTGATGATGCATGATGTTTGTAGCTTGTTGGAAATGCTCTTCGTAAGGCTCCAAGTCTCTCAACCATAACATGGAAGCACTGACTTGACTGACATTAGTCTTGAAAATCCGGATCTTGTTGTTTATGCTGAGTGCAGTGCAGTGGAGTAGATCTCCACACTGATTTTAGGTTAACGGAGACCTGTCTTCTTGCCTTTCCGACCCCAACTTTGACAACCTCATCTGTGCATGTGTGGCCTATAGTTGAAATAATGAGATGACGCCTAGGTAGGTAAGTAGGTAGGTAGGTAGGTGTGTAGGTAGGTAGGTGTGTAGGTAGGTAGGTGTGTAGGTAGGTAGGTAGGTAGGTAGGTAGGTAGGTAGGTAGGCAGGTAGGCAGGTAGGTAGGTAGGTAGGTAGGTAGGCAGTTAGGTAGGTGAAAGAGACAACTTCCTTCAGATTTCTCCTGCTGATGTTGTGGTTGACTGGGTATGTTCATCACCTCTGTCTTCACTGCGTTCACCTTAAGAAAGTTCCGTCGTATGCCCATTTTCTCAAACCTGCTCACAGTTTGTTGCATGATGCAGTTCAGTCGACCACGATCAGGAAAATCATAGGTAATAGTAGGCAACCTGTTTTGTCTTACTCCAGTCTTCACTTCAAAGGCATCACTGAGCTTTCCATTGTGAATCACTTGGCATGTAGCATCATAAAGCATATAACTTCTGTTGAATGAGGTTGATAAAGGTTTGTAACACTAAAACTAGTGTTTGAAGCAGTTTCCAAATTACTTGTCGGTAGACGCTGTCAAAGAACTTTTCAAAATCGATGAAGTTGAGGTAGAGAGTTGACTGGCATTCTATACTCTGTTCTCTGATTATTCATAGCGTAGCGCTGCAATCTGATCAGCACATGGTTTGTTCCTCCTAGAGCCAGCCTGTTCTGGTCGTAATTTTGAATCCAGAGTGTGATTTGGTTTCTCCAGGATGATGCGGCATAATATTGTGCTAGGAGTGAACAGAAGTGGAGCATGATTCCGCGCCAGTTCTTGCAAAGACTTAGGCCGCCCACCTTTTCTTGGAAGTTTGACAAGGTAGCCCTTCTTTCAACTGGAAGGTACCTTTTCTTCTTTTCAAATGCTTTTATGACAACCTTAAATTCAATCTCCATTTACTTTTTAGACATGTGATAATGTATTCAGGTTTTGTTATCTCAATAAGCGACCTCCACGAAGTCACGAAATTTCAGAAATGTATTTTTTCTACTTCAATGGGATTTTACAAACATGTTTCCTTTACAAGCTAGTAGTGGTAACCATTAATGAATCGAATAATTGCAGCACTCACTAACGACATGCTCTGTGATGTGATTTCTCATAGTTCTAAGAGGAAACTGTAACTACTGGGTCAAATTATATCGGGATTGAGGACAGCTACTCAACGACATCATTGGATGAAAATCGGGCTGTACCATGATTTGACGGTAGTAAGAAAAGCTGGTTCATTGGATTCCAGCTTACTAGTAGGATGCTCTCTGAGAAGCCTGAAGGTATTGGGTTCTACTCCTGGTAACGTCATGGGCGCGCACTCTTGAAGAGTTCCACACAAGGACGAAACAAGTGTGATATCAGTTTATGGTGAGTACTAACTTGAAATCAATCAATAAATCCCCAAAAACCTTCAAAATTAAAGTTCTCAACGTTTATATATATTCCCACCAAATTCATAGATATAAGGTAGGTAAGAGGAAGCGTTATTTTTGTGTTAACCGGAGTCTGTACAGAATAGTTACAATGAAACAGACAGAGGTTATTCGAGGGGATCTGGTTGGCTGGCTTCTGCTTTGTGCAGATGAACTCATATAGTGTGAGCCCAACTAGGTGGTATATGATAATTTACTTTCAAGGCATTTCCAGTATATGAACCCAATGCACAGAATAGATAAGGTATGAGAATAAAACATCGCGCACATATTTCATCTTTTCTTAAGATAACCATAACGGACCATGTTCAAAGATACAATTTTTTAATAGTCTCAACAATAATATCATTTTAAAACGACAGTTTTAGTTTACATAAATCACTAAGGGTGATGTCCTGCCTATGACTATTAATCTGAGAAGCAGTAAGTTTATATCGCACAGATGATAGACAGAAATCTGGTTCATTTATTTATTTTAAGAATACTTCCTATCTATCTTATGAACAGCATCACTTTATCTGGAAACAACATAGTGTTTTACATAGTAACCTGAAATTTTGGTTTTTATAATCATTCTTGCCATTTAACATGTAAATTTCATCTGCCTTGTACACATTCACAAGAATAGTTTGTACTTAGCTGGATGTGCCTGCATCCCAGTCAGTATCGTTGTCCCCACCGGGGATTGGACTTGGGACCCATCACTTCAAATGCTAGAGCGTTATCCACTACACCACCGAGCCAGGATAGTCTCTTCTTGTGAGACGAGAACAGTTGCGGTTTTGTTATTTGCATTATACAGTCGTTGACTGGACCGAATTGATCCGTCTCTATTGGCATATAGGCTCTTGTGGCTCGGCAGTCTAGTGGATAACCCTCTGGCGTTTGAAGCGATCGGTTCCGAGTTCAAATCCTGGTGGGGACAACATCACTCACTTAAAGGCAGGTACATCCAGTTGACGGGTCCCAAATAGGACGAAATGCGCATCCTGGATTGCACTGCTAGCTACTATCCATCATGAATATATAATTCAAACACAGGTAATGTTGAGGCATCCACGCAGGAGCCTACATGTCAACAGAGACTGATCCATTAGGTCCAATCAACGACACTATAATACAGGCAACAATACTACTTTATACCTAGTTGATAAAGAACAACTTTCGCACGATCTTTTGTCCAGTTGATTTAACTAGCATCGAAATGTCGATCTTTCAGGCAATAATAAAAATAATAATCGCAATCTGATTGGATAGAAATATTTACAGTCTTTTGACTGGCTAATCAAATAAAAGATATTTTATCCATAAATAAAATCTTTAGAATATTATTGTTATCATTCAAGGAAATTTGCGGAACAATTATTTAAAACTCTCAGTAATTCACAATTAATTAATTGCCTAATAAAGTCTATTTTGACTATATTGTATACTAATGTTGAACTAAATGACTGGTAAAACATCCATTGAAGCAAATAACACAAATCATATCTCTACGGGCAATCTTTCACTGCCGTATCTGCAAACAAATTTTAAGTGTTATGATTCAAATTCATTACTTTTCAATTTATCTTCAAGTCGGAATGTTAAAACGTCTGGTTCATATGGAACAGGTTCCACTGTCACAGACCCATACTGTATCGCTAGATTGGAGCTACCACAATTATCATGTGAGAATTCTGTTATATTACCTAACCAGCCTCATCATTTCAGTCAACAAGCACTCCTCATGAATATCCCACCTATAGTTCAGTATAAAAATCTAAACATGTTCAATACTCCCCTAGTAACTGCTGCTACTACTGATACCAGTGTTAATAGATACAACACTAGAAATCCTGTTATTAGCAATAATATTAGTGCCAAAACAAAGAAACATGAAACAGTTTTATGCTTGAAACGTCTTTTTACATTTTTATTGTCTCATGTTGGATTAGCTATTTTGGTTATTATTTACACATTGATCGGTGGTTCAATGTTCTATACTGTTGAACGTGATCATGAATCGCACATAAAAATGAAAATGTCTGACATACGCAAGAAGTTAATTAATGAATTAATGAGTGATTGGAGAAATGCTCAATTGGAAGTATTGGAGACGTTAGTGAATTCTGTTAATATAATTCACCAGTTTGAACAAACGAAATTTGGCAGTAAACTTAAAAATCAAATCAATATATATGATTCTATTGAACGTTTAGCCATAACAAATAATCAAAATTACAGTAAAAATAATAGTCTGAAAGATGAACAGAGGCAGCATTTAGCCGGTTTAGCGTGGTATTTATCAAGTTTAGGCTGGCCAAAAAGAATTTTACCTCAGTGGTGGTTTTATCGAAACTATACACAACTTATGCTCTTGAAAAGTAATGATGGTAATAATAATATTGATATGATCAATTCTATTCACAGGCAATTACCAGATGAAATGATGAACAGTTCAACAGATCAAAAGTTAAGCACTACAAATTTTTCACCAGTTGACCCTCATACTGGTGTTAAGGACTTACCACGAACTGATTCACGCCTGCTGCAGCCAATCAGAACCACAACAGGTGCACCAAGAATAACATCTCCTAGTTACAGAATCAACTCAAATGTAGAATTGATCAACAGAATCAACCAAAGTGTTTACTCGCATTATTTTGCAATGGACATTGTTAATACGCTACCGAAACACTTAGTATTGCTTACAAAACTCGATGATATACTACCAATAATTATCAATAAAAGTTATGCATTAGAAGTAGCTCTACAACGACGATTAATAAAGTATGTTGAGCAAATTGTAATTGCCATAAAAGATGAAGGATGGAATGGATCAGAACACACAGATGATTTAAATTGGACCTTTGAAGGTAGTATTTTATTTGCTGTAACTATTATTACAACTATAGGTAAGAGAGATCATATATCCGTATGCTTTTCGTGTTATTCTGGAATATATTTTAAGCATGTTTATGTAAGTATCTATAGAAACAAGTTTCAATCCCAGTAAAAGATATTAACGTCATTTTTTAAGTCATTTCAGAATGTGGTGAAAGTATCTGAAAAATAGTTACAATCCAGAGTAAGTTTTGATCTATGTATATTCATCCTCCCCCCCCCCGACCTATGATGTCTAAGATCATCGAAGGGGACAGCTTGATGGTTATATAAGTAGCAAGCCTGTAAAGATGACATCACTAAGCGTGAATAAGTTTGATTTTCTATGTTTTCATGAATTAGTACCCTATGTGTTACCTGACGTGTCACTTGCTGAACTTATGTACACCTTCTTGTTTCAGAAGTGATGAAACTCTTTTACTGAAACATTTTTTTTAGAAAAAATAAAAGTTACTAGCCTCCTTGAAATCTAGATGAGCTTAGAGAAGCTAACAAAATATTATGGATTCATACTTTAGACGGTTTTGTTTCTAGAATGAACAGAGAAAAAAAATACCAGTCACCAAATAACTTGTATAAAGTCGTTTAACTTTCTGTCTGATTCAATTTAGAGGTTTGTGGAGAATGATTTGTTCTAAGTCGGTATTCATCACAGGCTGACTAGCATTAATTGAGGAAGTACCGGACAGCTGTTTCATCTTAGAATGGCACTCTTCACCGATGCGCATTCATATCTTCTCCTTGACAAGGATCAAACCCAAGACCTCCCAGGTTTCGAAGTGAACACGTTACCATTGAGCCACTGAGTTGGAATTCAATGATTTACAGTTTTTTCTTCTTATATCTATTTGTGGTATAGCTCAGTCTTCATCCAGTGATGTCGTTCAGTTTGTTCCTCATACCCGACCTAGTTTGCCCCACCAGTCATGACTTCTCAATAGAAATTCGAAAAATCTCATCTCGAAGTAAGTTACCAATGAGCAATGGACTGAGTGCTGTAAACTGTCACTATCATAAACAGTATTGTATTCAGTTTGCGTTAAATTAAAATCCCTATTAATATGTCCAAGATACAGGTATCAGCTGACCTGCCTAAAGATAAAATTAATTAGTCTACTCCAAGATGGTCTTCAGTTTCTTTTCTTACAGCACACATGTTATGCGGTACAGGAAATGATTAGAATCGTAAGTAAATGACCAATTATCTGTCATCTTCCAGTGACTGTGCAAGTAATAATTAACCTTTGATGATATCCACTTTAGGAAAAGAAATTAACATAAATTTATAAACTTCAGTACTTAAGCAGTTCCAACAGTAGCCTATCTGTCAACTGAGGTGGAGCAATTCGATTCAGTTTAGCAATGTAAAATTGTAAGTACAAACAACAACTTATATCCGTAGCACAAGACGAGGGTCTCATATCCTAGTTGTGTTTAAACCGAAGATGCTGAGTTTAAGTCTGTGGGGAGGCACTATCACTCAATGGAGTGCAAGTTAATCCAGCTGACGAGTCCTATATAGGATGAAACTCATGCCCTGGATTCCAATGCTAGGAATTGCAAACTATAAGGTTTAGTTCTCATGTTTCACTTTACATGATAATGTTTCAAAACTGCAACTTATCTAATGAAACGTAAAAATCATTCAGTCGCTTACATTTTTGATCAAGCCGTTGTTAGAAAAGTAAAAAAGCCTATTTCAGACATTGCTTTAAATAGAACTATTGATTAATTAACACTGAGACGACCTAGTTCATCAAGTATAGACTAGCAAACTGACTGTAGGTTTCAATAATATCACTAATTTGTTTTTCAGAAATGTCAAGACATTCTTCATTCAGTTTCAATAAAATGTGGGATTTTAAAGTACAATATGAAGTTTTCAGTTCTTCAGAGAAAATGAACTGTCTTAAATCAAAATTACCTCACTAATTCAACTACTGTACTTACTTTTATCATATATATATAACACTTAGTTTCATATAGAAATGTAGAAATATTGCTTATACACGAAGGAAATATATGCACACAATGAACGTGATTAGAAGTTATTTGTTTAAATGAATAACCGTAAATTAAAGTCAGTTAAAGGTCATTGAGTGCGTCTGTAACTTAGTAACTATCTTTAGATTCATATACTAGACAGAGTTGGACCAATTGTTTGAGCTCTGTGATACTGTGTTTGATTAATTTAGTTTCATTAGAAGCCAAGAGATTTGAATCATTTTCGACTAATCAAAATTAAGATATAGAATTCAATCAGCTTCGACATTGACAAATAAAATTCTGTCTCAATGCAATGTTAACTTACACTTACATTAGATAGCAGATTTTGAATAACAGTCTTTAATATAACCACTCCATTGTAAAACATAGATATCAGAATTTACTATATCTTTTATTTTAAATGAGTACTCATCATAGAGGGACATAAATTGGGGAAGCATTAAAAAGCTGAAAGCAGTGGACAGCTATTTCGTCTTAGTATAAGCATCCTCAGCAGTGTGCATATCCATGATATCTCCAGGGATTGAACCCAGTTAATGTTTCAATAGGCATTTTAAGTCTGACATGCAAACTACTCTAATCTCTTTGACTAAAAAGGTTTATTACCACTATTCACTGGCAAACTATTCTATTGTGGAATTATTGTCAGAGTCACATGGTGTAACTTTTATGGACTAACACATACAAGTATTATTTCATTTGGAAACTTAAAAAGTATTCATGTATGCACTGATAGATTGCTTGTTATTGAATGAAATAACTTTAAAATCATCAGCTCTTATCAAAGCCGTTTGATCATGGGAAACGTTGTGTTCCCAATGTAAATTAATGTGTTAATGAGAGCTGTTGCGTTTGCCAGCAGCGATTTTCCTAGTGGAATTTACTGCTTATATTCATATTGAGGTGGCCATACAACTTCCTACCTTCTTAAATTATACATCAGCCTTTGATTCTATTCCCAGACCAGTCTCATCAAGAAAGCTCGTCACTTCTCATACTGAGACATGGATTACTAACCAACTGCATTCTTATTTTTTCAGGGAAACAGTATACTGTTTATGAAAGGAAATCTGTATGCCTCAAGATCCAGTACTTTCTTTGTTTCTGTTGTTTTACTTTTTGTACAGCTTACCCTACTCTACTAAAACTAATTCTATTATATATGCTGATGAACTGGTGGTTTCTGTGTCGGTCAACTCTCAGTTACATTGCTCTCAATTGAGTAGTTCCTTATCTAAAATTACCTGGTGATGTTTATAAAATGGTCTCAAGCTAAACCATTCTCAATGTCAGACTGTTAATTTTGCCCTCAAGTGTATACAAAACTTGCTTGGGCCTCTAAGGTTCCATGACTTTTGAATTGAGTGTTAACCAAGATGGTTTGAGTTTCTCTTCTGATCTTTATTCCCCGTCTCATATCATGTTGACTACCAAGAAAATCTTTCGTTTAATGTATCACCTAAAAGAAGCTAAAACTCTCTGGTCTAACTCAGCCTGTAACTCTACAATTTAGTAATCCCTATATTTTACCTATTTTTCTTTATTCTTACTTGGTAATCTTTCCTGGTCTACTAAAAATGGATAATATTATGTTGTTTAGGCTATGGAAACTGTCAATGGAGTAAGTGCTGCACCTCTACCCTAACTAATTAGTTTTAAATTCACAGCTATGTCTTTATATGTCCTCAGGGAGGACAAGAAGGAATTACACATAACTGTACTCTCATATGGCCAACGATAAGAACTGAACTGTGCCTGCTTTACAAAGCGAGTATCTTGTGTGAGAAAATGAATAGTAGAACAGAATCCATTTATAGCCTTTGTAATACTAAAAATTCAGTCTTTTTAACATTCCAACCAACTATGTATAATTCTTCTCTACCTCAACTTCATTGACATTGAATAGGCCTTCGACAGCGTCGACCGACAAGTAATTTAGAAACTGCTTCAACACTATGGAATACCACAAACCTTTATCAATCTCATTCAACAACCATATGAAGACGCCACATGCCAGCCAAGTAATTCACAAAGGGAAGCTCAGTGACGCTTTTGAAGTGAAAACAGGAGTGAAGCAAGGCTGTCTACTATCACCCATGATATTCCTGATTGCAGTGGACTGAACTGGATCATGCAATAAACAGTGAGGAGGTGTGAGAACAGGGGGATACGCTGGCTGGACCGGGGAAAACATCCTAGAGGATTTGGATCTCGTCGATAACTTGTGTCCAATGTCACACAAACTTGAAGATCTACAGGCGAAAACTAACAAGCTGACGGAAGAGGCAAGGCAGAACAGCAAAGACAGGACTTCAAGTGAATATGGAGAAGACAGAAGTGATGAAGATACTCAACCAACAACAACAACAACAAGCTCATATAACCACCAGTGGGGAAACTTGAAGGAAGTAGCCTCTTTCACCTATCCAGGAAGCAGTGTTTCAACTACAGGTGACGGTATAGACGAGGACGTCAAAGTCAGTCGTGATCGGAAAAGCAAGACAGGCTTTCATTAACCTGAAACCAGTGTGGAGATCTTCTGCACTCAGCGTGTGGAACAAGTACCCGACTTTCAACACCAACATCAAGTCAGTGCTTCTGTCTGGCTCAAAGACTTGGCACGTCATGAAAAACATTTCCAACAAACTACAGATATTCATCAACAACTGCCTATGCTGGCTCGTTACTGAAGATCAGATCAGATGGCCAGAATAATAAGAATAAGCAACAAGGAACTCTGGCTGGCTTGGAACGAACCAACCAAGAAGCTATCACTCAACAAATATGCACTGTAAGTAAGTGTAGATGGATTGGGCATACACTGAGAAGGCCGATTTGGGACATCACGTGTCAGGCCCTCGAGTGGAACCCAGATGGGAAGTGACGAGTTTGGCGTCCGAAGTGAAGGTGACATGGGGGAGATAGTGCGAGGAGGAAATGAGAGTTTGTGGGTTGTCGTGGAACCAGGTTCAAAATATTTCAGAGAACAGAGTGCTCTGTAGAC